ATCTATGTCTATATCTTTTTATATCTATATCACTATTTTTATTTATATTTATATTTATATCCATTTAGGTTATCCAAATAATATGGTTCTAAGATAGTTTTCATTCATGCACCATATTAATCTGAAAAACCCAAACATTTCAACTTATCTATTAATGACACTACAAGAAAAGTCTATTTTAGTGACCAGTTTTTAGTGACGACCTAAAATGTGGTCACTAATAACATCATTTAGTCACCATATATTTAGTCGTCACTAAATTTTTGGTAATACTACAAATTTAATGACCACTATCATGATGGTCGTCACTCACCCGTCACTAAAGTGTAGAATAAAGTTTAAGTAATTATGTTATAGCAAGTATTAGTGACCAAAAATAGTGGTCACTATATTGGAGACTTAGTGACGAAAAATAATGGTCACTGGATTGGAGGGTTAATGATGAAAAATAGTAGCACTAGAGACTTAGTGACCATAAATAGTGGTCACTGAATTGGCAACTCAGTGAGCAAAAATAGCGGTCACTGGATTAAAAACTTAGTGACCAAACATAGTGGTCACTAGCTATTTATATATTTAAGAGCTGAAAAATAGTAACCAGTAATTGAATATACAATTGAAAATTGCAAAAAGGTTAGGACCGTATAATAATGATCACCGAACAAATTTTATTATAAATTTAAAAACAAAATAAGAATTATAAACTCATATTATGTAAATGACCACGGTGATGGTTTATTCGATGGAAGTGCATCGTGGTAATTTCACATTAAATATACAATGTTAAATAGCATGGTGTTATTACATACATGTCTGTTAATTTCCTTTTAGTGATTTTTACCCAAATAATGTTAGGGTAATTTCGTAATTTGGTATAAAGGGGTTTGGAGTAATAACAATCCTAGTAAGGGTCTTAGTGGAAATGCTTAAAAGATGAAGGGGGTGACTCAGTAGGATAAGTTGAGGGTTAGATACTAATAAAATAAAGCAAAATGTGGTTATCATCTCCATTACGTATTTACGCTATGCAGACCTCCCCTCGCTTTCCTCTATTCACAATCTGCATCGAACACCGCCGCCACCGTCGTTCCCTCGCCTTCCGTCTTCCGTCGGCGCTGCTACCGCATCGAATCACCACTTTCTCCTTCTCCTCGTTACACTACGTACCGTGCTCCAAAGGTTTGAAGCCCTAGTTTTCCCAATTGAAGCTTCGATTAGGTAATCGTCACCTTCCCCCAAAATTTGATTAAGGGGTGATTAGGGGCTCGAAAAACCTCAATTGGAGCTTAATTCCTCGCATTTGATTCTTTTTCATCATTACTAAATGTCGAAAGGTAAGTTTAATTTATGTTATCCTTTCCTCAATCTCTCTTCTCCTCTTCCTCGTTGATTGCTTAGGGACGACATCCTCCTCTACCTACTTTTTCGGTTCTCGACTCCATTCTGATTCCTCTTCACAATCACACACTTACATAAGCACGTATGAACACACAATCGAAAACACATAGAAATACGTAATCACTTATGAAAGGAGTCGATTTCTTTAACTTTATTGTACGTTTCCGATTGAGGGCTGTCGTGGTGGCGTTTGTTCCCGCTGTTTAGTTTGAGGTTTTATGATCGATTTGTTGTGTGCCTCTGAGTAATGTTGGAATTTTTTTGTGATTTTTTGTTATTTATCTTCCGGATTATGGAAATTTTGAGGTGATTAATTAGTGATATGATCTTATTTGTTTAGTTTGATTATGATTTAACATTTGACATTCTTTTTGTTTTTATCAACAGACTTTCAGATCTATTGCAATATCAGTCTATAGTTGATGCAGAGTGGAATATCATTTATGATAAGTTGGATAAATGTGTGAAGACTGGTGCCAAGATTGTACTTTCTCGTCTTGCTATTGGTGATATGGCTACACAGGTTGGCTGGCGTTGACTCTTTTGACTTTTCCACAAATGAAATTCAGTTTTTAAATGTTTTTTTGTTATCGGTATTTTGCAGACAGAGATATCTTCTGTGCTGGAACCGAAGAAACAACAAGTAAACTTACTGCTGCGATTTTCTTTTTTATTGTTCCTCGTCATAATATTGTTATATTGCATTCTATCAATCCGTAGTGGCATCCAGATCCATCTAATAATTTGATCTCTGTGGGTTTATGTATTTTATTATTTGAATTCCGTTTATTGATTGTGAATAATCAAAATTTAGGTCTCCGTGTTTTAATCTTGATTTTTCTATGATCGGATCAATCAATCAGTGTTCAGTGTCGTATTCCAAAAATTAGATCAAACTGTCGATGTAAATCTAAATCATCGAATTATCATATATAAAAGTCACTCTCATGGTCTTGTTCTCTCTGGAAACAGTTTTCACTTTTTGTTTCTTTGATTGATCAGTCAATCTGCAAATCGCTTAATTTATGTTCCTCGGGCAGTTAAAAGTTAAACCCGTATTTTAGACTAAAAATGGTGTGGCGCAAAATCTATGCATAGTTGTTGTACTCTAGTATCTTTAACTGAACCTTGTCAAGTGCCCAATCTTAAACTTTTTCTTTGAAGTAATCTCTTTGCATGTTTTTATGTTTCTTAGTTGAATATGGGAGTTGCACAAAAAAGTAATGGCATGGAGGAGGCAAGACTTGAGATTGGAATGGGTAAGCTTGCATTATTATGGCAACATACCTGGCTTTTTCTTTAAGTACAATTATTATTATATGCCTTAGATGATGTCTCAACTTTCTAATGTTTCTAAAAAAATATAGATATTAAACCAATATGAGAATGTTTATACGGGTAAGCCATGTGTTTCTTTGATGATGTCTCAACTAAAATATACTCAAATTTCTACTGTCTCTCGAGTTGCTGGACCTCTGGTCATCCTTGATAAAGTGAATGTTGGTTTCTGTGTTTCTTTTTTTTATACTCATTATTATTCTCTTTATATTATAAAAATTTCAGTTGAAATTATGATTATTACACCAATATGAGAATGTTTATACGGGTAAGCCATGTGATTAAGTGATAGTTGCATTTCAGTTTCTATATTTACAGGGACCAAAGTATCAAGAAATTGTGAATATCCGCTTAGGAGATGGATCAACTAGACGTGGTCAAGTCTTGGAAGTTGATGGAGAAAAGGCTGTTGTTCAGGTAATCTGTCTTCTCTTTGAGGAGAATTGTCATTACAATATGGAAATTATTTTGTCCATTATTATATATATAAGCAAGGGTATAGTATGTTTGACTTGACATCCCATCATTTACACTTTATTGTTTTCTTGTTAAATTCCCACTTAATGCATATTTCATTGTTATCTTGAGCAGGTTTTTGAAGGAACATCTGGAATTGACAATAAGTTCACCACTGTTCAGTTCACTGGGGAGGTACATTAAATCAATTGTTGATGAAAAAATGCACATAGTCTTTGTTTTATTAATAAAGTAATTCTGAGATGTGCAGGTTTTGAAAACTCCTGTTTCCATGGATATTTAATGGCTCTGGGAAACCAATTGATAATGGTCCTCCTATTTTGCCAGAGGCCTACCTCGATATTTCTGGTAACTTTTTTTTATTGGTAAAAATTCCATTTTGACCCTGAATGGTAAAATTTTTTTTTTTTTTTTTTTCCTTTTTGTTGTTATTACAACCACCTCCTCCGGTTAGTGACACCAACCCATACAATTTATATTTAGACCAAGGGAGAAAGCTCACAGACTTCATACAAGAAGGATAAGTCTGTCAATTCTTCATATTTTTACATAACCTAAGGTATTAAAAAATGTTTATATATTTTCAGATGCAAAGAAGAGAAAACAATGTTCAATCATTTGAAAAGCATTGCCAGGTGCTTTTTGACCCATATATGTTCTCATCCTACTTCTTAATCTTACATTTTATTTGTCAATCAAGTGAGACGCAATCTTGATCAAGCCAAAAACTTACTAGAAGCTTTAATCAAGGTACCCTCACACACACACACACACACACATTTCATTTTATTTTTTATTTTTATTTTGGTAGTGATAATGACTAGATGAAGAATGTGTGCAACAGAGAGAGGAGAAAAAGAGAGATGTTTTACCTTTTGATAATCATCGTTCACAGAAGAACCTCATCCCTTTCAGCTTCCAGCTTTCACCTCTGTGTGTGTGGTTGGTTGAACACAAGTTTACCCTTGGAAGCAATTGAATTTACTTTTAATCCACATTGATCTTTATATGTTTGTTTTTTGAAATATTGGATAAAATATATGGATTTTGTTTTTTAAAAATGACATTTAATTTTCATATTATAATTGTGAAGATTTATTTTGTTATTGTTGTTGTATTGTAAAAATTTATAGGATTGATTTTTCTTTTGTCTAATTGGATATTGTTATATTTCATATTAAAAATGACATTTGATATTTCAATAATTTCTTAATTATTGACCCCCTTTTTGTGTCTAATATGATAAATCAGTGACGACCTGTTATAGTCACTAATTAGATAGACCAGTGACCACTTTCTGTGGTCACTAATCGGATAAAACAATGACGACTTTTATTGGTCACTAAGTAGATAAAATAGTGACGACTTTCGTTGATTAGTGACAACATTTAGTGACGAAGTGGGTGGTCACAGATTTAGTGACGAGTATATTTTAGTCACTGTTTAGTGACCATATTTATATTTGGTCACTAAATTGGTTTTGTGACGGACCTATAGTGACGAAAAGTGACGACCGGAATTTTGGTCACTAAATCATTTAGTGACAATTTATTCTATTGTTAGTGACCATTTTGTTTTGGTCACTAATTGGCATTTTTTTTGTAATGTGACTACATCTTAAATTTATTTATTTATTTATTTTTGTAAATAATAACACTTGAATTTTTTAAAATGAAATTTGTTATTGGTTATAATATTTTATTTGAGTTATTTATATTTATAAAAATACTTATTAAAGTTATGAAATATAATCTCTACATAACGATAAACGATATACAAATAAAAATAATGTAATTAGTTTAATTTAATTGTATAAATATCTACATTATAACAATTATACTATGTGTCATTTATTTAATTTGTATGTTAGTTATTAAAGTAATTATTAGTTTTTAGAATCCTAAAAATCACTGAAAAAAAGATTACTAACATACTATTTTGTTAAAGTCGATTATATAATTTTAAAAAATTTTAAATTCAAGAAAATTTAATAAAAAGAATGCCCTATAATTTAGAGGGTGTTTGGCTTTTCTTTTTAAATGACTTTTAGGACTTTTGACTTTTTCAACAAGTCAAAAATTTAAAAAGTTTGTTAATTTCAAAAGATCTTTTAAATTAGTTTTTGAGAAGAAGAAATAGGAGAAGATTAAGAAGTCATGAATATGTGACTTTTAACAACTTTTGCATTTTTTTCTTTTGCCCCCTCAAAAATTTATGTAAACATATTTTAAAACTATCTTTTGAAAAAAGACATGAATCAAAAAGTCCTTTTCTAAAAATGAATTTTTAGTTTAAAAAGTTATACCAAACACCCCTTAATGTAATTAAATCATACATCAAAGAATACAATTATTTTAAAACTATAGTTAGTTGATCATTTTATATATCAATTAGGGCCTCTAATCAGTTGAGTCACCCTAGACAACATTATGATCTTAACGTGCCTAACATGTTACATTAGCATTCTACACATTATACGACATACGACATGTATAACACCTAACCTTATGGTTAGTTTAAAAAGAATTATTTGACATTTTTTAAATTTTGATCATAATTATTATTTCAAATAAAAAATGATGTTTTCTTTGTAATGTATTATACTTTTTTAATATAACGTTATTTATAACTATTAACGTTATTTTGATTAATTTGCATTTCAAATTAAGTTGTACATATTTAACAATGCATTAAATCTTATTAGTTATTAAAATTATCATTTTTATCATTTCATAAGTTTAGTTGGATTTTTTATTTAAGTTTTGTATTAAGAAGTTTTTTTAATTAATAAATCAAATATATTAGATTAGTAATTCAAAAAGCTGTATAATTAAAATGATGATTTTTTTACATCGAATACCATATTTAGATTAATAAATTAAAAAAGTTAGCAATAAAAAAAATACTTATATACAATAAATTTGACAACCTTTACGATAAATACTTTAATTACTATACAACTAGAGGGGTTTCTGTGCAACGCACGGGACGGAAGGTGTTTAGACAAATGAAGTATGTTGCTTGAATTGGTATCCACAGTAAAGTACGTTGCTATTACGTGTAAATCGCCAACAATCGGATGAGCAGAAATGCAATGATAAGTCATGAGAGTAAAAGAAGTATAATGCTATATTTGAATAGATTTTCAAAAACAATGAAAACACAATCTTATATCCGGGTAGTTTTAAATGAAAGTACAATGTAATCTACAACAAATGTAGAAAGAACATCCTATTGATGCCAAAAAAAAATCATATTTTAACCAATTTATGCAACTGAGACAAATTATTTTGTTTGGAAAGCATATTCTGTTTCACAAAAGAGTAACTTATAACCTCTCTTGAGCAAAACCATCGAGTGATGAACCATTTTGAAGAGGGATAACACATGTGTGCCCATACTTTCCTTCGCTGTTAAGAAAAGTGAGAAATAACGAAATCAAATTAGCATATATAGTATTTCTTCTATTTCATGCTACCAAAAGATTATTTTCAATCATTAAAACATAAAATTTCACATAAGAAGTTATGAACTTGGTACATTCATATACTTTTTCATTGAAAATGAATACCTTACATTTGAGAGTAGAAAAACTCAAAACCTATGAAAAGAAAGCTTAAGCATCACTGATCTAACAACAAGTGGATCTCTCCAGTTTCATATATTGGAATTTGGAAACCTGAAAAAAAAATAGATATGAAGTTTCACATAGAAAAAATTATAATTGCACCTCAAACCGATATATAACGAAAGAAATAAAATGCACTTCCATTTTTTCTTAATTATATATAAAGCTTAGATACTAATATAGATCAAATTTACGTGATTCACTCACGGAGGCAAAACAAAAGGAAAGTAGAAATAAACAATGCAGTTGAATCTTCCAACCCCCGGATAAAAAAATTAAATAAAATAAAACTCGGTTTACAACTCGGATCAGATGTTTAAAGGTAAAGTAAAAAAAAAAGTCAAATATGTGAAAGAGAAGTGTGGCGCAAGGTGTTAATTTCCTTCATTCTTAAAATTGGTTGAGTTTGCCGATATTTAGAATTAGGGAATAATATCATAATAACATTTTTTTGACTATATATATATATATATATATATATATATATATATATATATATATATATTATTGGAATTAGAAGTCAAAAAGAATACAATTAGTAAAGGTTCAAAAATATATGTAACAAATGATGGCAGAAAATGTTTTATTTATAAATGAAATCTAACAAAAAATTAAAAGAAATTCATAGCAAAAACAAAGAAATTACACGACAATGCATAAAAGAAATCCTCAAAATTAGTGGTATAAGGTAAATGTGTAAAAGCCGGTGAACTTTTTCATATATTTGCCATAATATTGTGGTTATTATGTAATTATCCCACATTAGAAATTAGAAATTATAAACCATTATTTGGAGATGGATTGTTGAATACTGTTGTAATGATTAACATAAACTTTTAAACACACACATATATGAAATGTATTGATATCAAAAGAAGAACATATCCCTTATTAAATCAAGATGACTGGTTTGGTGAACACAAACCAAAAAACTAACCAAACGTTACTTTAAGTAACCCCTGATAAACTCATATTGTGTTTTATTTAACTTTGTAAGAACAAATTAATATTGATTTTGAGTGTTGCTATCAATTCCTGATTATTGCATTTCAAACCATTCAAAACACAGAGATCAAAACATTATAGAACACATTTGTAAGAAGTTTAAAACGCAAATTTGATTAAAAAGAAGAAGTTCTAATCCAGCAAATTCAAAGTTACTTTGCTACTAAAACTAAGATTAATAATCATAATCGACATCAAAAATAGAAAAACAAACCTAAGCAGTAAGAACAACAGCACCACCAGCCTCCTTAATCTTTTTGTTAGCACACTTTGAAATGAGCTTCGCTACCGAAAACCTTGAAAACCTTGAATAACCTCTAGCAGCTACAATGAAGGCCAACCTTATCTCCGTATTGCCACTTGTCGCCTCCACATTAGTATCCTATTCTTAACACTTTAGAACACTTCATGGTTGGCCAATAATATCCTATTCTTAACATTTTAGAACACACTAATTTACCCCAGTGTGGTTGCCACATTTCCCTTCATGTATATCTGTTAGAACTTTCATGGCTTCTTGATCTTAGATATAGATCTGTTATGCATTTCTTGTATAAAATTCCATGGATCTTGATATGTTTATATATATATATATATATATATATATATATATATATATATATATATATATATATTATATATATATAGAGTCAAGATCAAATAAGAAGGAAATTTTTGGTAGGAAGATAAGAAGTTTTTTTTCTACATATTTTTTTCGCGAACAAACTAAATGAATAATTAGATGATTCATTTGTACGATGATTCACAAGAAAAAAATTCTTAAAAAAACATCTCGATGATTCATTTATACAATGATTTTGTTGTTATTCACTAAAATTGTCATAAAAGTGAATTTTTTCTTAATTTACTTCAAAATGAATCATAAATATGTTTTTTTGGGAATTTTTTCTTGTGAATCATCTTACAAATGAATCATCTAGTGATTCATTTATTTTGTTCGTCAAAAAAATATATAGAAAAAAAACTTCTTACCTTCCTACCAAAAATTTTCTTCTTACCGGATCTATATCATATAATATATATATATATATATATAATATATAGATATATATATATTATATATTATATATAGCCTTAATTATTGTTATTTAGAACTAAAAGGTACTTATATGTTGAAAATTTTATTTTACAGGTATATTGTTGCTAGAGCAGAAAAGAAACAAATGGAGCGGAAATTGGGCTTAGAATGAAAAAAGAGGAAAAGGTGGCTGAAGGAAGCCCACTACGCCTAGCGTAGTGGGTTTACACCCAGTGTAATGCGGAGCTGTGGACTACACCCATCGTAGATGTTGGTACGCCTAGTGTACTGGGCTTGGCTCCGTAATCAGATCACGATAACTTCTTTAGAACGCCCTACGTGCACCGACATACGCCTAACATACGTAAGTCGGTTCCAACTATTATAAAAAGTGATTTTTAGCCAACCAGAAG